CACCCCCTCTCAACAGTGACCCTGGGCAGCCAATCATAATTAAAAACAACATATTAGCTCAAAACAATAGGGCTAGGTAAACAGCAAACCACCTCAGAATGACCAATTGACCAATTCATGGACTCTGACACTCGGACCCCCATGGCCCCGTGTTCTAACACAGCCATGTCTCCAAGGCCTTAAAAAGGGCAGGCAGAATTGGGGTTGACCTGCTTGGGGGGTGGGATGGGGAGATGTTCTGCCACAGGACAGTTGGAAAGGTAGAAAAAGGTAAAGATGGCAAGAGTTAGAGATGATTGGAAATGTAAGAGGGCAAAATATGTAACAGAGAGTTAGAATTATAGTTATAAAATGGCATTACTTCATGATTGTTCTTATTGCAGTATCTCCATAAGCCAAGTATACTACGAAGACCAAATAAAAATGCCCCTTGCTTTGTCTTGGAAATAAACTTTTGCTAAGGCAATGACGTCTCATGGCAGGGAGGAAGGAATCTTGCAATCACCACCCATGTAGCTGTGTGATGTACAAGGAAGCCCTGCTTGGAATTTTCTAGGCAGCCGGATGAAACCATGCTGAAGGAGACATTTCAATTTTTCCTCCAGGAGATGTTCAAGATGGAGTTGGAGGCTGAATGACATCATAGCAGAACTAATTGAAGGATTCTTTAAGATCAAAAAAAATCTTTCCATATCATTTTCCTTATGAAATCTCTCCTAGAGATTCAGGGGCATCAACAGTGAAGAACTGGAGATCCACAAGGCACTTTGGACATCTTGAAAACTGAGTATAAAGCCTGCCATTTTTGGTAAATGATTAAAGCAATGTTTATTTGCAGCCATTCTGACACTTGACTTCCACAGGAGCAGATCCCCATTAACAGGAAAAAATATCCTTCTGAGACAATTTGATTTTCCTGGATATATTTGGAGCAATGCTCAGGAACTTACCGGGATACAGAATCAAGGGAAAGTTTGGGTGAGAGGAAACCCAGCTCAGACAGCAAAACAACAATTTCCCCCCCATTATTTTATGTCAGTCTGCAGTTACTTTCTACAGGGGCCACCCAACCCTGGCACAGAGATTGTGCCAAGACTATGGTATGCAGGGCATCCTTGCTCTGTGATGATAATAGCAATAGCACTTAAGACTTATATCCTGCTTCACAATGCTTTTACAGCCCTCTCTAAGCAGTTTATAGAGTCAGCCTGTTGCCCCCAACAATCTGGGTCCTCATTTCACCCACCTTGGAAGGATGGGAGGCTGAGTCAACCTTGAGCCAAGTGAGATTCGAACTGCCAAACTGCTTGTAGGCAGTAGCAGAAGTAGCCTGCAGTCCTGCACTCTCACCACTGCACCACCGCACCTCATAATAATGCCAAATCTGGAGTGGCTATCCTGCCTGGGACCCCTGGCATGGGAGCCACCTCAACTCTTACCTTGTTCATCATGCTTTTGTTTTCATCCCAAACCAAAGCTTTGCATAATGATGATGGTATCATCCATTCAGTTATGTCTGACTTTTGGCAATTCTATGGGCCAGATCTCTCCATATCTTGCAATCTTGCACTATTTTTTAGTTGTTCTATGATGTGGCTTGGATGGATAAGTTTGCCTATAGAAATGTACCTGTGGTGCTGAATTACTTCCTCTTTGCTCCTTTCTTTGCCTCTTTGCAGCTGACCTACAATAGGATTCATCATGCAGCTGATGGGCACCTGCCATTCTGCAGCTCTACATGCAATCAACCAGCATTTCAAGGTCTTTTGGGAAAGTATTAGTGGCAAGCCAGGATTGCTTTATCATTTGATTTCTGTTGCATAAACAAAGAGCAAAATCCATCTCTATTAAATTGCGTTCCATTATTTTTAGATCTTTGCTCTCAACGCTCTAGAGGCGACAACTGTCCCTTCCACCTCTTCCTTCAAGTAATCATAGAATCATAGGACTGGAAGAGACCTTACCAACCCTTACTCAATACCATCCTGGTGAAAGGTTGTTCAGTCTATTTTTGAAAACCTCCAGCGATGGAGCAGCCACAACTCCAAGGAAGCAAGCTCTTCCATTGAAATTCCATTGAAATTGTCAGGAAATTTCTTCTTACTTTCTGTCAAGATGGAACTGCTTTGCTTCTTTCAAGCCTTAATGCTTTTCAATTTGCCAGTGAACTGGGGCAGGGAAGGCGGAAATGGAATGCGGAGATTGTGAGAGCGTGGAAACCATCCAGGTCACCACTGCAGGTGCTTGAGAAAGAGAGGGACTGTTCCCATAACAAGAGGATGTCTCATAATTGGACAGCGTGATCACCCAGAGGTGGGGAGAAGGGGAAGGTATTGCTTAACTGGCCAAGTATTTGCACGGGAAAACTAGAGCTGGTTTTGTTCCTTTAGTACCAACATGGTGTATCCAATGAAGTTTTACTTTGGGGGTTCAGATCTCCCAAGAGTGTCTCCTTATTTTGGGTTCACTAATTGGACAGTTGACACTTCCACCCATTGTTTCTTGTTCTGCCCTCTACTACTTTGGAGAACAAGTCAACCCTCTCCTCTCTGTGCCAGGCCCTCAAATACTGGGAGACAGTTACCATTGTTAAGCCTGGATTCCCCAACGGGTGTTAAGGAAAACAAACTAAACAGAACGTGCAGCGAAGTCAGATAGGAAGACAGGTAAATGTGTGAGATAAGCCTTCTCGTTAACACGCAGTAAAAATACAGATACGCTTGTGCTATCAAAATTATAATTTATTCCATTTAAGAATTATAGCATAGTCATGTAAACAGTCCAGTAGTCATATATCAATTTCAGTCAAGTCTTGTCAGGGATACTCTATTTGCAAAGTCCGTGTTGAATAGCCAATGTCAGTACACTTACAATAAATCAGTCCAATCTTCTCTCCGTTGAGAAATATCAACACACTTCTTCACTCCTCGTTTCAGCAAGAACGCAGTCTTCAATAAGCCAGCCAGTAAGAGCCAGAGAGTGCCTTGCTGCTTATATAGTACTTTTACAGCTGCACCCTTAATTACATTCCTTTAGCTTAAAGTCACATACACTTTATCTGACAAACCATGATTCATCATTTTATTATCTTTACCCAAAACAGTTAGGGTAAAACAATGTTATCCCTAACAACCATGACTCCCCCAATCCTTCTTCCTGATAGGCTAGACATACCTAGCTCTTAGTCTCTTTCTGCAATGTTACTACAGGATGGTCCCAACTTGTAAGACCTTTTTGTTCTTGTCCATCCACACAAATCCCTCTTGGCGTTATCCCTGAGCTTCTTGCACTGCCTCTTCTGCTTTCCAAACATTTTAATGCAAGAAAGGACGACAGAAGAAGAGCTGGAAGGGACCTTGGAGGTCTTCTAGTTCAGCCCCCTGCTCAAGCAGGAGACCCTATACCATTTCAGACAAGTGACTGTCCAGTCTCTTCTTAAAAACCTCCAGGGATGGAGCACCCACGATTTCTGAAGGCAAATTGTTCCACTGGTTAATTGTCCTCCCTGTTTGGAAGTTTCTCCTCAATTCCAGGTTGCTTCTCTCCTTGATCAGTTTCAAATCATAGTTTCTTACCCTGCCCTCCGGTGCTTTGGAAAATAATTTTTACCCCAACTCTTCCTTGTGGCAGCCCCTCAAATACTAGAATACTGCTATCATGTCACCCCTAGTCCTTTTTTTTTTATACAGGCCAGACCCAAAACCTGCAGCCATTCTTCATATGGTAGTCCATCCAGAAGAGCAGTTAGATCTGTGGCTTACTTATAGATTCACCTTTAGGCATTTGCAGATGCCTGAAAAAAACTGAAGTGTAAGCAATGTAACAAATAATTCACCAGTAATAGTTTAATGTTAAACAGTGGGCTCCAACTCTTTGGTGGATGCACACACAAATGTCTGTCTCAACTTGCCCTTAGGTGTAACAATACTTCTATTTTTTTTCTTCCTATTCCTAGCCTTTTCCTGCAAGTGCAGAGTCAGCTTACTTCTTGCAACGCTGTCTTTAACACTAGGGAACACCAGGTCCTTGGGAAGGACTTGACAGGGAGCATAAAAATGCCAAGCCCAGTCTAACCACCCAGCTCACTGTGGGACAAGCCATCATTGATTAAACGTTGTCAACGATGCCGGGAGGCTTAACGTACGGCTCAGGTTACCAGAAGTCTCTTTCCAAAGCACCGGAGAGAAGTTGGGTAAGACAACCAACGATACTCGGAGGTTGCCAGCGCTTGTAAGCAGCTTAAGGCCAGCAAGAGAATCAATCGTCGCATTCGCTCAGAGTCCCGATCCACGGGCGCCACCGACGCCGCTGCTGGCCAGGGGACAGCGGGGCACGGAAGCGCCCTTCGGACGTCCCCCAGCATGGCGGGAAGACGCGCCCAAGCAGGCGCCGCCGGAGTCCGGGGGCGGGGAGGCATCCGGGGCAGCCCAAGGCAGCGACCCACAACCAGCTGCTCGGGTGGGGACGGAGACGCAGAGCGGGGTCGGGGCCCTCTTGGCGGACTGGCGGCTGACCGTCCCGGACCAGAGCCGGCCTTCCACCTTTTCCGGGGTGGCCCCGCAGACGGAGCGCAGCCTCTCCCTCAGCCAGAGAAGAGGCCCGCCGAAGCGGCCCCGCTCCCCGCAGCCCCTCGTCCCGGAGCCTCCGTTGGCAGGCGGCGCGGGGCTGCGAGAAGCGGGGCGGCCTTGGCGCCGGCCAAGGGCAAGCGGGGCAGGGCTACGGCTACTGCTGCTTCGGCGCAGGGCTCTCCCGGGACCGGCGGGCCGAGCGCAGGACCGGCCTCCCCACCGCCCAGCGCGCCAGGAGAGGCACCTGCGGAGGCGGCCCGCCGTCTGGCCGCGCGCAACTGAGGGGGCGGGTCCGGCGGGGGGGATCAGAGGAGCGAAGGCGTCCCCGCGGGGCCGCCACGCGCGTGCGCGCCTTCTCCCCATCCCTCCTCCTTTCCATCCTTCTCTCGCGGGGAACGGCGGCGCGCACCTTCCGCTCCCGCCGGTCGGCAGCGTCCGAGCCCGCCGCGTCGCTCTGCCCTTTAGCTGCGGCCGGAGGCGTCGCCGCGCGAGCCGCTCTTGCCGGCCGAGCCCAGCTCTCCCGGGGCGGCAGGTGCAGGGCGGGGGGTTGGCGCGGCTCCAGGCTGGGCCGCGATTGGCGGGCGGCTCTCCCGGGAGGGTCCCGGCGGCGGCGGAGCGAGTGGGGAAAGCAGCTCCAGGCCGGCCGCCTCCCGCGCTCCCCAATGCGCCTCCGGCGGAAGCCCCGGCCAGCGGCGGTGCGCGCCTGAAGCACACGGGCAGCTGCGCCGGCGAGTCCCGCTCCCTCCCAGGCGTCGAAGGTAAGAGTTGGACGGCGGCGCCGCCTCCGCTGACCCTCATCCCCCCATCGCCGGGCTCCGGAGTGGAGGCGCCGCTGCGGCCGCGCGTGACAGAGGGGGCGGCGGGCTTTTTCCCGGAGGAGCCGCGGCAACGCTGCCTGTCGCCCAGGATGCGGGGCTCCCTGCCGCCAGGCGGGCCCGCGCCGCTGCCCGAAACCAGCCGCGGAGAGACGGAGGGAGGAAGCCGCTCGTGCGCGGCAAGCCGGAGCAGCCGCCGCAGCCCGCGAGAGCCGCTTCCCGGAGGGCGCTGGGGGGCGGAGGCGGCCGGAGAACCGGTGCCCAGACCGGGCCTGGCCTGGCCTTTCTCTGCCTGTGAGCCATTGAACCAGCCGCCGCCGAGACGGCGCCTGGCTGGGAGGAGCGGGGAAAGTTACTTCCCCGCGGCGCTTGCCGGGTCTTCATTCCTCAAGAGAAAGGCCGCCGAAAGGAAGGTTGCTGGAGGCCTCTCAAATCACTGCCAGGCAGGACAAAGAGCCCGGCTCCCTGCCGAAATCCTCCCCCGGGCCAAGGAGGGAGCCGGCTGGAAGCAGGAAAGGCCCAAGATCTGCGGCCACAGGTGGGGGGGGGCTTTAAAGGGGTATCCGACTGGTACCTGGAGGACAGGTGTGTGGAGGACATTTGCTGGGCTGCAAGAGGCTAAGTAAGGAGGGTCCAGTTGCAAGAGGGGTCCGGTTGACCTTGGCTTGCCCCAGGAGGCTCTGCTCCTTAGTCGGACTCCTCTTGCTCTCGGCTGGTGCTGCTTCCTTGCTTCTGCAAGGAAGGCAGAAACGCTCTGTGAGTTGGAAGCCCCAAACCTGAAGCCCTGGAGCAGTGGCCCTGGGGTGTGAAGGAAGAGGCAAGCCCTGTTTGTGGCCAGTAGGGCTTGTGCCCCAATCCTTGAGAGAGAAGGGCTTACAGCCCCCCCCCCCCCCCGGGCAAGAGGGTCACTTGTGGGCTTTCTGTGGGGAAGAGCACCGTCTGCTTGCATCGTTCCTTGCAAGGTTTGCCTTTCCAGCTCCAGGAAAGGAGGGCAGATTCTCCACAGGGCATCCAGAGACTGATCAGGCAGCCTTTCAGGACAGAACAGGACTAGGAATTGACCAGAGCTCACAGCCGGTTTGTGTGGATGGAAAGGTGAGCAACTTCATTGGTGGGGTTGGAGGGCAGAAAATGTTTCGATTGAAGGAAATAGCCCAGCTCGGGGAAAGCAATAGCCTTGCTTTGCATGGGGGTGTGGGGAAGAGTCTCCCAAACGGATCCTTTTAGGGATGGGGGAGTGGGGTGTCACTAAGCACCACGGTCTGAGAATTCACTTATTTTTGATTCCGCATCTGCATTTTGATGGCCGCCCACATATTGTGGGCTGTGTGTTTAGTGCCTGCTCTCTCCATGCAAAGTGTGGGGAGGAGGAGTGTGGCTGTGAGGTTAGGTTTTGTGTTGCTGTGCTTGTTTCAGCTGCAGCTCCTCCTCTCTCCCTTCATCCTGGGGATTTTGAGGTCTCCAAGAGGGTCCTGCTTGCTGCACCTTGTGTGCTTGTCTGTTGTGGGTGGGGGAATACTTGAGCTTTTACTTCTGCTTTCGTGGACCCTGCGAAGTGGGGATGAGCAGAGGGTGGCTGGACTGTCACAGGCATGTAGTTTGGTTGTTAGTCCGTTGTTTGGCCCCACAAACACATCCTACTATGCACTTTTCAAATCAAAGAAACAGATCGGTGACAGCACAATAAAGAACATGTATATATTGCAGTGATTGAACTAAGCATCAGGGAAGTTGGAAAAAAGCATTCCTATCACATAAGCATAAAATCCCTTTAGCCCTTATAACTCAGGGAGACCTTTTAGATCATAACCCAGGGGATTTTCCTCCAATTCACCCAGAAAGTAAGTCCTAGAAGTGGCAGCCAAGGTGAACTCAGCGTTATCATTTAGAAGGCTGAGTGAAGCATGTTTTGAAGTCATGCTTCTCTGGCACCCACTCCTTCTATCCCAGAACTGTCTCCTGGCACCGATCATCTCCGGTTTTAGGGTCCATAGCCATGCTGCAGCCAGAGCCATGCCAGCACAGCTGTGGCAAGATAGTGGTCAGTCCAGGGCATTTCCACTATGTAATTGGAGGCAAACGAGCAAAATTTCAGGCTAAAATATAAATAGTTATTGCTAACCTATGGCTGATTTTCTGCTTTTTTCTATCTTCCAAGTTTGCTAACAACAATGAAAAGCATGAAACAATACAAAATTAAAGCAATACACATTAATCTCCAAGTTAGAATCCTTGTTAAAACAATTAGAGCCTGGTGAAAGAGAAGTAGGTTACTGTGTTCCTAAAGCCCAATAGACACAAAGAGGCCCAAGGATCCCTCAGGCCAGAATAGATTTCCTAAATGTGTGGGTATCTGGGGGCGGGGGAGGGTAGAGACCAAAGCAGGCTCCTTCTCACCTGTCCTTCTGGCGGAGGGGCCATTTTTGGGTGGTTGAAGTGGCTCCTTGGGGGAGGGGCATTCTGCCAAGAGTCAGGTTCTGTCACATTTAGTGCCGGTTAAAAAGCAGAAATTTGTTTGCAAGGCTTATCTAGGTGCCAAGATTTCTTTGGTTAGCTGGCAGTCGAAGGAAAGGAGACCAACCATCATTCTTTGCAGCAGCTTCGGATATTTTGGCCTCTTCGATAGTTTGGTTTTGATCCCCAAAATAAAATCCCACAAACTCCTCCTCATAGCACAGAATACACTATCAAATCCGAGTGTGATGTATTTCAGAATTAAATATTGACAGGCTTGTACCAATCGATCTTCTTCTGACAACATTTTGATTGTGTTTGAATGTAACGTTCATATTACGGGTCCTTGTATTCCCTACTTCATTACTGTCCTTGTCATATTTCAGTTGTTTATGTTTCAGTAATGAAAATTGCTTTAATATTGATTTGTGTTGGGGGGGGAGGGAAATAAAGCAAACATGTTTAATATAATCCAAATGTCACATTCAAATTTTTTTTTAAAGTTGCTCTGGGTTTCAAATCAAAATGTTTTCTCAGTGTTTTCCCCTGTTTAGTCTGCCTCTTTCTCTGAGCAATATTGGCTAAATCAGATCTCATGTTGGAGAGGAAAATGGGGAAAAAAAAACCGGGACGAGGCCACTCCCTCAACTTATCTGGTTCTCTTTTTGCAGCCCTCGGGGCTACTCAGTTTGAGCACTCAGAGGAGCCCACCGTCAGTTAAATACGAAATGAGAAAAACAACCAGAAAACAGAGAGTCAGTTTGAAATCTGGCAAAAGAGAGGCACCCTCTGCTGGGACTGAGATGAGGGGGGAGGGACATGTTCCCTGGGCACCTGGGGACTTGGATGCCTACAGAAGAGGTTGGGTTTGGGGGCGAGTCCTGAAAATGAATTCCCATGAGAAACGCCCCCTTCCATTTTGGGTGGTCTTTGCGTGGCTGCTTTGCCACACAAAGAAAGCAGATTCCGTCATTCCGCTAACTTGCACATCATGCTGCTTCACCACCACTTTATGCTGGTTGTGCTGCAATAATCTCTCAAGTCTATTGAACCTTAGATGAGCATTACACCCCACCCCCCAATTCAGCTCTTTAGTCATTGCACAACAGGTATATCCTTTGGCTGCTACCTTCAAAGCGGTCACAGAGGCCGTGTCTTTCAACCCATTGCTACTGGCTCCCTGGCCTTGGAGAAGCCCCAGTGCAGTAAGGAGACCTCCAGAATTGCCAACTTCACCCATGAGGCTTCTGGGGGAACACTCCTAGTCCAGACTCTGCCTTGGTCTTGTCTATGATGGACTATATTGTGTGTTCATTGTGTCAAGTGCCAACCCTTAAACATGTTGATAAACTTTCTTTAGCATCATCTGTTTCCAACTGGCCCTTGGGCTCTTCCAATGTGGACCCATCGTTCTTGTAGTTGAGGCCAGCATTATGGAGTGGCCCTCAAGGGAGCTGGGTCTTTGCATTTTTTTGGACCCCTCAAGTCTGTGTTGGTTCCTGGGGACTGCCTGGACAAGTCACAGCAGTTTCCTTGGCAACCTTTTTGGGAAGTGGCTTCCCTTGCTTTCTTCCTAGGACCAAGCACACAATTGGCTTTGTGCCTAAGGAGGAAGAAGAATTCTTACCCTTTTGGTTTCTAGCCTTATGCCTTAGCCATCATATCAAATTCCCTCCCCCCACTCTTTTCCTGGATCTTTGCATATTGACTACGAAATATGAAACTTTGAGCCTTGTAATTTGTGCTTCAAATAAGTTCTCTGGACTGATTAGTTCTATGATCCATTCATTGGTTTTCTTGGCTATTCATGATATTCTCGGGAATTTTCTTTATCAGCAAAGTTTTAAAGTATTTGCATTCTATCTTGCTTCTTCAAAGTCCAATTTTACTTTCCATAGAGCTTGTCTATTTGGTTTTATTGTGCAATGCATTTGAGCCCGTTTGGAAGTAGGCGGTGCTTATGGAATAAATTAAAAAAATTGTTGAATATCTTTTCCAAAGTTACCCTACCAAGTCCTGGTCTGTGGCATATTTTTTGACTGCTGCTTCTTTTGCTGATGTGTATCTGCACTCAACTGTTGGCCAGTGAGTTGTTCTATAGATTTGCTGGCATAGTTTAATTATCAATAAAGGAGAATATTTGTAGCTCAGGGTTGAAAGGACGGGTTTTTGGTGCTTTCTGAGTTTAGTTGTTTTCTTACAGACATTTCATTACCAAACTAGACAACCTCATCAATGCCAGTCACTAATAATGTTCACTAGTTTGGGTAATGAAACAACCAAACTCAGAGAGCAGCAAGGACCCCTCAGAGTTTGGTTAGCACTTTCCTTGATTCTTCTGTTGCTCCTTGAATTTCTGTCCCTGTTCCCTCAATTCCTGTGGGCTTCTGGCTCTGTAATGACCAGGGTGTTGCTCTAACTTCATCGTCTAAACTTTCTTTTAAACAGGGAAGATCCTCTGAGGAATTTTGGATGTTGATATCTCCACT